CCTGAAGGTTCCTTTGGGAACTTATTTCTGCTCGTTTCTGTTTGCACTAGTTTTTTTCGTCGGATTCATAGAAACCAGGCGTATCCCCAAAAAGTAGTACGGATGCAACAGAAACTGGTACGAAATCTCAAGAAGTGTTCGTATGGTTTTGAGGAATTTCAATCCCAATTGTGCCTCGTGGTATAAGATGATCCCTAGGGTTACCTGTGGATGATGTGATGCCCTCTGGTGCTCATGTTCATATCATCGAGAAGATGGAAGCTCCACTTGGAGCAGGGGCCTGAGCTTTTTGCTTCATGCCTGGCGGGAGTCCAACTGCTCTTTGTACATTCCCAAGAGTTTCTCCATGCAGCGTGACGTAAGTCGTTGTGGTCCACAGTGTCGTGACAGCCTGCTTACTCTGCCGATGTAATCCTCATCTTGCCAACAGGCAAAGCCTTAGTAGATTTAGAAATGTTTACGCAGGGGGGATCCCATACTCGTGCATTCTATATTTATAGGATTCATTTACCATACTTTGGGGCTTTGCAGCATATACGCGGGGGTTTGAACATTTCTGGGGAAGGCCCTCTAAACATCTAGCAAGCTAGTGCTTTAAAGGAATCCAAGGAACACATTACATTTAGCGCCAAAGTGTCACCCCGAAGCAAATCGAGACTTTGGTGCTGGCTTAGATGCACCTTCGGGCGTATTCGAAACAACTTGAGGTTCTGCTGCTTCGCGGCCGTGGCAAGGATTCCAAAGCCTTCCTTAAATGCACAGAGGGGAAATGCGCATACTAACATAGTTTGCATCTTGCGCACCTTCGTTGGTGCAATTGAGATTCTTCCATGCTTTGCCCTGCTGCTACCAACAGATTCCGGGTCTCATGTGGAATGAAGACGCCATGCTCTCGAAGACTTCGGTAGAAGAAATTCCCACATTGAACAGTGTATCGAAGTGTCTCCAAAATCTCGTGTTGGATGTCCTGCGTGCAATGGGGAGTCTCAGGTCTATAGGCAGGTATCCTGATAATGCTTGAAAGACCCCAAAGCCCAACCAATTACATACTGTACTATACACTAGCTTATAATTAATTATGTAGAGCCCACAAATCATTACCATTGCAGACCAGACACCAGTCCTAACATAAAACTCTCCAACCACGCCAGAACCAAAGACGTGTCAAAGGCTTTGCCGCCCAGGGAGGTTGGGAAAGCATTGTTGCTTTTCCTTAATGTGTCATAATTCTACAGATAAACACCTATACATGTAGGAAGTTAACTATACCCCACAAGCCTTACACACCCCAATAATAATGGTACTAGTTGCTGCCAGCTTCATGTCAAACAGTTGCTTGGAAAATCCATCGCAGCTGGTTGTTCTACCCACCCCCGAGCAGTAGGTAACAAATTCGCCATATGCCCGTTCCAATCGAGTGTCTAGAGCACCTTTGCCAAAGTACTCCAAGTGTGCCAACAGAATAACTCCAGATGCAGCGAGGTCCTGGCCCCAGCCTAGATGAAACGTATGCATAGGGTCCGTGTAGATCAACTCAGTTCGAAGTCCAGGCACATTGAGCAAAGGTATGTCAAGGCTTTTATGAGGAGTTTCCTTGCGATTGTTGATGGTCCCACGCCATACTGCATCCTTTGAAAGAACGTACCAATCCTTGGTCAGGCCCACTTCAAATAATTTAAAATCGACATTTAAAGCTCCCGGGACAAAACCAAATCTAAAGTACGTATATACCACTACTAGCTGAGCCCAACAAATGATTTAGATGCTATACTAGTACTACGTTATATGGGTAAACAGCTCGAACCTTGACGAAAACTCTGAGATCCCATACGTTAAACAGTTAATACCTGTGAAGCCTGGTAAACCCCATAATTTGCAAACACGAAGCTGTGGCATCGCAGAGGTGGCACTTGTCCTTACAATTGTAGCCAGTCGCCAGGAGGTACGCCTGTCAGGGGTTCCAGCTTTCGGGCGTAGTGATCGGGGTTTGAGCTAGGTCCGAGGAGAATTGTTCATGAAAAGTTTATGATGTCCCATCCACCTGACGAAGATACTTCCAGTCTCCTTTCCCCGCAATGCAGGCCAAATGGATCCGGATACCATTGACCTTAAGGGTGTATATGGCTGACCAGGGCTTAGGGTTTACAGGGCTTGGGGGATTGCAGCACCGACTTATTGAGATCAATTGGCTTCAGGTATGCTAGTACTAACAAATTAATAGCCTCAACACCCTCGTAGAAAGCAGACTGCGCATCTTCAGCGAGGGCCGTGTGCAAATCGTGCAACGTCTGATTTTTCGCAAAGAGGTGCGAAGAAATACAGCTTGTCAAGAATCTGGTGGTGAAAGAATGCCTTAAATCCGGCAGGCTAGGGCTTCAGGCTTTTGAATTGGGTACTACAATATTACAATTCCTATAGAGATTGGGTTCAGTCCTGTAAGCTTTGAAGGCAGGCAAGTTACCCTGATTCGTTTGTATGAAACAAACCATGCCTCCCAATAACTGGTTGGAAGGATTCCACTAAGAATGCCTTGGAGCGCAATCCCTTTCCTTCATCCCCGTGCAGGGCGTATGGAATAGTTCTGCCCCAATCAAGTCCAGCTGAGAAAACTTCATGCGCAGGGTCAATTTTCTGATAAACAGACCAGAAAGAAGCAAATTGATGTTGCCAGCCAGGAGAGTCTTCGAACCTGAACCCTCCCAACAAGTGGGATGGGCTCTGCTGTAGAAGTGCTCGCGCCCAATCAGTAATGCGAAGGATGGGCCACTGCAATACTTCATTGTGTGGCTTTGGCTTGCGTAAGCGAACTGTGACTGCAACTGCGGAGACTTGCACAGGATACTGCACACCCGATCCGCGAAGAAGTCGGTGTAAGTTTCTGCAAATATTTGTTCGGCTTGCTCCAGCTCTAGCAATCTTGTGGAGCATGTCATTCCTTCCCCCTTACTTGGACGCATATACTAGCTGCAACCCTTTAGAGCTCTTGTAGGCCATCATATGTGCAGGCAAGTGTCGGGGTGTCGCCCGAACACGGCAAATCATTCTGGCAATTTTGGTGGTGCGATAAGCCGACTCAGCCTTAGATTGATTTGGGTCAGCCTTCAAAGCTAGCACAGCTCAAGCAGCCTTGAATTCAGACTAACTGCCAACAAGTGACCCCATGCATGTAATCATGTAGGAGCTCATCAGCTAATTCCGCATCAGCCGAATCACCTGGCAAGCCGTCAGATTGTTGCACGTACTCAGATTTAATCCCCTAGTGTAGCATAGGCCTTCTTCCCCAGGAGTAGTACCAAGAGATCTGAACAGACGCGCCAACCCACGTCCACCTGGCACAATGCAGGTCAACTACGGCAGATCAACGTTCTTTTGTCAAAGATGGAGCAGGTGCAGGACTGATCTTCGAAGTACACATGTTTGATCAGCTCCTCTCATGCGCGGCAATCAAAGACGGGATTTGCTGGTGCTTTGCACAGCTTAGCGTGCTGGTCCCCCAAGGCCCTGAGCAATGACCATGAAGCTTGCTTATAGGTACGCTAGCTGTATATAGGATAGGGAAGCACACTACATACCCAGGACCTTCTATAGATCGACCCTCGCACCCAGCTAGATGTGTGCATAAGTAACTGCGGCATTCCACAGTACCAATTGAAGATCAGCGATCGGAAAATCAACTACTGGTTCCGCTTGCGCTTCTTAGAAGGCGCAGCAGCTGCAGAGCTCTTAGACTCCTTTTTTGGCACTTTCGTGGCCTTCTTCGATCTGTCCTTGCGTCCGGGCTTACCTTCCTTAGAAGGCTTTGCCTCCTCCTTCTTCTCCTTCGTCTTTCCCGGGACCTTGATTTGCCTGGCTGAGAAAACATGTAACCTGAACCCTGATGTAGATCCCTAAACCCCAAACCCTGCATGATTCTGGCATTTAACTTAATTATCCCCACCTGGCCCGAGACAAGAGGTTGTTGACAGTAACATCTGACTTTGTGCAAGCCACAAACAACTTCATGAGCTTGTCCTTGCAGGACCTGGGAAGAAGGGGAATTGAAGATTGCTGGCTGAGGAGAACAGGGCTCACAAATAAATTAAGGCTGTGACACAGAGGGGTGATCTACCACGTCCGTTTGGATATTAAGCAGGTCTTCATAAATCTTCTGGTACTTGTCGATCTGTGGCTGCATCTCTGTAGCCAGCCTGTAGACAAAGCTAGTTTGGGGTTATAGAGAGCCTAGGGTATTGAAAATTAAATGGGGTGATTTGGGGGTTGGTTGGAGATTGCAATCGATATTAATTGCAGGGGTTGGAACTAAATTGAGGTTGCCCTTGCACAGCTCTAAACCCTAAACCCTAAACCCTAATAAGCCCTTCATCAACTATAGTAGTGGATGCAGGAAATGTGTGCACTAAGGTTCTATTACTATATTATTCATATTATGGATATCGATATACTTAATATTATGTAAGGCGCTGCGCAAATTTCCTGCATCCACTTGGGGTTAGCAAATTAGTTAATCTACATATAAGAACCTGCCTCTCCGCTCGGTCAAGGCCAAGAGCATTCAGCCTCTCCTTGCAAGCATTGGAGTTCAGGGTGTAGGGGTTCAGGGTTCAGGGTTGATGGGGACGAGTCCTGGGCTTCGGCGCATTTGTCGAGCTTCTTGCCCACAACATCAACATAGGTTGGGAGAATGCCTAACAAGAATGCCATCACACCCACAACATCATGAGCTCATGATCTATTATAATGTAGATCAAGAAGCTAACGGGATCCGAGTTGGCTTGTAGAACAGGGAGCTGCAACTGATTCTTCCCCGGCCCAGAGGCTGTAGCAGTTGTAGCGGTGATTTGCATTGCTCTGGCATCCACTGTGCCTCCTCGCCTTGGCTGATTAATATGCTTGGGGTCTACAGACCGTAATAGTAAGGGGCAGGCCTGGCGATGCATGAAACATTAACCCAGTAGCTGCACCAGCTCGTCCGCATCAACTGATGAGCTCAACAAAGCTTCACCCGTAGGGTCCTACAAGTCAGCAATTACAAACATATTAAGGTCAAGAACCTAGAACACACGACAGTGCTGGCTTACTTACTTGGATAGGCCCAGCTCCTCGAGTTGCATAGATCCTTTGAAAGTTGAGCTCTGGCCTTTTGTACTCGTATGCTTGAAGCTAGATTTCGTAGGGATGCGCCATTCCTCAGCACCATGCACCTCGTTCTTCCTCAACAGATTTCGGGCCAGGGCCCACTTCCTGCTGTTGCTGATCATCTCCCTCAGCGCAGATCATATAGGGGCTCTATATAGGGTTTAATGTTTCAGAGGGTATATTATAGTTTAAATTAAGGGTTTGGGGACTGCTTTATAGCTAGGGCTAGGGTTTAAGCCTAGAAGCTCTGTCCAGTTTTCGGACTGCAAGCTCACCACCGTGTGCCATCCACCCTCCAACGCAGTTTGCTCTTCGTCATTCTTGTAGCGTTGCAGCTCCACTTCTACATCCGAAAAGGAACCATGTTTCAAAAGCATCTCACGTAGTTTCTCTCCTTAGGCTCACTATATCTGTATATATATATATAGTGAGCCTAAGGAGAGAAACTACGTGAGATGCTTTTGAAGCATACATGGCTAAGGGTAAGGGGCTTACAGGATTTCAGAGGATCCACATAATGAAATCTGGGGCACGACCTGCACTGGTAGAGTGGAGTTCCTGGGCTGCCTTGCTTGCGGTGATCACACCCTTGGAATTCGGCTGGAAATAGCGGCGCATCCTTAGAATTAATTATATAGATTTATACACTATATAGAGTTTGGGTGTGGGTTTATGTAGCTAGGGCTCTTCCAGTACGTCCCATCGGAATACTGGTTGGATGAGGAAGACTTGGCAGGCTGCACTCTGCGCGTGAATGGATTGGGTTTCTTGGTCAACCCTAGGCTGGAGATCGCAGGTTCTTCGGCTGTGCCCATGTTCGCGGGGGGGGCGCTCGATATCTCTGGGCTTCGACAGGATATCTTGGCTGGGCTTCGACTGGATATCTTGGCTGGGCTCCGACTGGATATCTTGGCGGGGCTTCGATTGGATATCTTGTCTTCGCCTGGGCTTCGACTGGATATCTTGGTGGGGCTTGGACTGGAATTCTCGGCTGCGCTTCGATCGGGGGCCTCAGTGGTTGTCTCGAGTGGGTTTCCGTTCGATGCCCCGTTGGCTTCGCTTGGACGCGCCCCCTGAACACTAAGAGCCTCGGTTGCCACTGCTGCTGGTGCTGCTGCTGCCTGCAAAGCTTGTGGGGATGGCTCCTGCTGTGTCATGAGCTGGCTTCCATCCGGCTGCCTGTCATGTGGCCAAGCATTCATCAGCTGCATTGGTTCACCTGAGCTATAGATAATTGGGGCAAGGGCCACAAAACACACAAACGCACGCTTCATGGGTAAAAATTGCACACGGGCACGCGCACACTATTGGTGGTAAGGCACTTGTCAGAAGCTGACGCGGCTGCAAGAGACTCGGACTGCTCACACCGCTAGGCGACAGCTGAAAGCTGGGCTCTTTTGACAGAGCTTCGCAGGGTCTTGGCGACAGATGCTGCGTTCCTGGTGTGGATTGGCTCGTTTCCGGCGTTAACTTTCCCGTTCCTGGTGTGGACTCCCCTGTTCCCGGCATGGGTGGTTCTTCTCCTGACAGGCTAGGATGCTGTGTTCCTGCCAGCTGGTGGGGGGGCATGGTCTGCACTGTTTCTGGCATCACTCCTTCCAGAGTTGGAACCCAGTCTGGTGAAGGTTGGGCTGAGAGTGAGTCAGCACTGACTTGGGAACCTAGCCAGATCGTACTTGCTAGACTCGAGGCAGTGGGCCCCAAGACCTGAAAGCCTGGCACAAACTGCCCAGCTGCCTTTGCCAAGTGGAAGGCAGTAGGTCCTGCGTACGCGCGCGATGAGGCTCTTAAGGGATGGGCTACACGCGTGTTCAGGGTTTAGGGGATAGGATATATATATATATTATAGATATACATATATATGTTATTGCAGATGCAGCTTTAAATGTCCTATAACTCTATAGGAGTGCATAGTAGCTAGGGCAACCGATTCAGGGAACGCCTCCTAAAACCTAAGCCCCTAAGCCCCTAAACCCCTTAACCCCTAAACCCTAAGTCCCTAAACCCTTAAACCCTATAAACCCTAAACCCCAAACCCTCGGCCCTAACCTTAGTAAACCCTAGATCCCATAATTCATACACCTAGGCAGGGTTCCTAACGACAATCCTGGCTTTCCAGGAGTGGACGCAGGCGAAGCCAAGCCACATTCAGCCCCAAGCTCAGCTTGGAGTTCCAAGATGCGGGCTCTGGCTGCCTCAGATAATTGACAACTGTAGACCGCAAGTACCTATGGAAAGTCAGCGCAATCAAATTGATAAAAGGTGCAGTAATCTGCGCTTCCAAAACAGCAGGATCCATTGCACTGCCTACTTGTTGGCTTTGAATCAAGCCCAGACCTGTTTCAAAGGTTGGGCAGCCTCGCAATCTATCCTGCTCAGCCATGCTAGAACCAGCTTGCAAATTGCTGCAAGGGCAGCATAAACTCACTGATTGCGCATGCATGCTAGTATGATACTCGACACAGGCATCTGCAGTTGGATCTATAATCAATTTTGAGATGGCAGCACGAAGCGTCACAAGCTTCGGCAGCTGAAACCAGCATGGCCAACACCAAGTAGCCGGTCCAAAGCAGCTAATTCATTGCAATCGGATGATATCACCAGGTCAGGTCCTGGGTCAGGCGAATGGTTTGAATTTGGAGAAAATCAATGAATTGAAAAAATACCAACAACCAGAAATCAGGATTTGCGGGTGTTTGCGTGCAATTTGCGGCGGTTTTGCGTGCAATTTGCGGCGGTTTTGCGGGTAAAACTGGTCGTGATTTTTTGCTTGTCGAGGTGCTTTCTGTAAAACAAA